TCCTTTGACGTTTTTCCTTGTATTTACTTTTTTGTTTTCGTTCGTGTTCACATGTTAAATTAAATAAAAGAATTGGTCATTTAGGCTGCTGTAAACGGGGCTGGTCTCTATGTGTTGACTCCATTTAGTGTAAAAGCCTATATGTGCAGATTATGGCCGGCGAAACCGAGTTGATTGAACTTTTACAGGGTGATTTTGATCAAAAAACTGTTGTATCAAAGGCTTTCGAGAAAGCGAATTCGTCGGACCTGCTTGCTGTCGTCTCAAATCGTTTATCTGAGTACGTGTAAATCTATTTCCAGTGTTTCTTCTGCAGTATCCCTGGAGCATTTTGTTCCTGTGCTGCTAGTATAGGCCCATTTTCATGACCCCATTGACCTTAACCACCGTACAGAATGCTACTCAGCGCTGCACAGGAACTAGCAAGAACTTTTACGCTAGCGCAGCCGTAGGACATTGCTATCAGGGATGCTCCATATATGTGTAAATAGGCTTTTTGCGTCTGCTAATATTTAGGGTTAATTTTCAAATGGGCTATCGAATTCGTCCATTGATTTAAGGTTACTTTCTGTTTTGTCCCTGATAGCAAAGCACATGCGCATCGGCAGCAGAAATCTGGCATCAGTGGAGGGGAGGGGAAGCATTGTAATTTGTTGTAATACAGCTTGTCCTAGTGCAAAAAGACAGCCATGCGATCACTCCGATGCTTCCCGCAGTTCACAAGCCCAGGCGTGTCCTGCCTACTCCTGGGCCTTTGTCCTTTCCACCAGTAAGACAGCTGTGCCGCGCCGAAAAGCTCGACAAATCGCTAATCCTCAAGCTTTCTGAGCAAGACTTTTGTCATAGGCGCGTGATGGCAGCTAATCGATATGCCTGCTCGTTCGGTAGCCTACACACCGGATTTCTATTACAGCGAAAAAGGGCCCTGAAGAGGATGATTTGGACACAATGGTGCCCGTAAACTGGGTTCTGCTGACAGTGAGGACAGTCTACTTGGGACCGCGGCTTTTGCTATGAGCGTGGGACGGCCAATTGATATGCCTATTCATGCGTCACAGATAAGGGACTCACACAGAGGCAGCTAGGCTAAAAACAGCTATAGATACTCCCTTTTTTGACTGATTATTTGTGCGTCCTGTGCCTATGTTTTTGCAGAGAATTTTGCTATTAGGGGTGGCATCAACATCGCTTTGGCCACTGACCAGTGCGAATAGTGCCGGCAGACTAACTTTATTACTCGTATATGCACTGTGGACACTGGTACAGCGGGCTAAGGAGAAATACTATCTGCCTAGTCTTCTGGACTGCGCCACTTTTTCGCAGTGGTTCCTTCCTGTCAAATCCTCTTCGTCACAGTACAATGTCCCGAACGCCGCAGGTGATTCTGTTTGGTTCACCTAATGGTACGTTTTCCCCAATCGGCGCTCTGCTTTGTAGTAAACCCCACATGTACACAAATCTATTGTGTGCCTCGTTACACAATCAACGTCTTTTGTTGCGCGTTGAGCAAAGGATGCATTATTTTTCGTGGCTAAAATATTTCCCTGGTTCATGTACCTAATGGCCAGAATCGGAGGTTTGCGGAGTCTTTTAGGCTGCCAAATACTTTGGATCATGACTGTCCAGCATTTCGCTTGAAAATTACAGATTTTGTTCTTAGCAAGATGTGTGCACCCCCAACAGGCGTCTATAATCCGTCTCAGCCAATGAGAGAACGCCGAATTTGGATGGTCTTAACATTGTCGAAAAGTGATAAAACGGCGCAAACCCTTGTATGCCTATGTGAACTTGTGTGCGGCCAGTACTCTGTTTAGCTGTCTAGACGGATTACGCCTTCATGGACTATTAACAAGTTTCAGCCAGTCACAAATCTACCCAAAGACCAACCGGAATTTGATTTACTCAGAATTATTGCTTGTCTTTTCAGTCGGGTCTCCTCCAATTCTTCGCGGGGACCACGTAGCATAGATTAAATTCGCGAATGATAAACTTGCATAAGACGAAGATTCAAAGCTTTGGCACAAGTTGGATCCTTTAGTTCCCAAGATTACCGTTTATACTGAGGTCAAACGTACAATGCAGCAGGCGTAGGAAGAGCTTCTTTGCTGGTAATTAACACCCTATTTTACGGCTCGGTCCTTTGACTGCATCAATTTATAAGATAATGGGTTGTCAGTTTTGACTTTTTCATACCCTGTCAACGCCATAGCCATTCATCTGAGATAGCTTATTAATCATAAATTTACGTCTGTTTATCTCCTAGCAAACCTCTACTAAAGGCAGTTCCAAGAACCGCTACTCGTGGACGCCAGATAAGCAAAATCAAGGTTGACAGACACCCCGTCTTTCAGGGGCCCCTATCTTCCTTATGAGGCACTTATTAGGCCGGTTAGGTAGTAGTATTTTAAAGTGAAGCGAGAAGCAGAGCGACGCGTAGTACCGACATCAGCAACTTTAATGGATTTATATCACATTTCGTTCTCATCAATCCCTCAGTTCACTTCGTTCCTCTATCTAAGATGGCTCATACTAGGTGCAAAGGGAAACTTACGACATCCAAACACAATCGAGACTGTAAACACGAAAGTGTGTTTTCATTATGTATTGGCGTCAGATAAAAAGGTGTTGCAAAATGATCGTCGTTAAGGTCGTTATTCCGTGATACTGCTATTTGCTTTTCAGTATCACTTAATGGTGTTGCAAAGACTGTATCACTTAACTACCCATGGCTGCTTGTACGTGTTACGGCTGTGATCTTGCCTGATCTAGCCGGCCCCAATGATGTCACGGACGGTACCTCTCCACGCGTGACAATCCGTGGCAGCAGACGTGGAAAGCTCCACCCATTCTCATCTCCAGCGACGGAGACAGAAAATCGAGGGTCCCAGAACTGCTTCCGTGTCTTGACGAACGGTGTCGAACCAAGTTCTGAGTTGCCCACTTCTTCGGCGCCTCCAGGTGGGCTGCGGCGCCGGATTGAGGGTAGTGTAGCAAAGCTCGTAGGGCGGACGGCGGAGAACGTGCACAAACCATCTTAGTCGTCTTTTTAGATGGCCTGAGATATTCTCACGATACTATCGCAGCGAGTACGGACTGTCTCATTTGAGACGAAGTCTGTATACTTCACTCGAAGGATGGTCGCCAGGCAGCGAGGGTCATATATCTCCAGTCTTTGCTCATCTTCCATGCGAAAAGCCCAGCATCCACAACCGTAGAGGACTGACCGGACGGATGCACGGTACACACGAACCTTCCTGGCAATAGAAATATCGCGTCGGGTCCATAGGCACTTTCGGAGGATTGAGAAAATCCTGCGAGCAGCATTGATTCGGGAGACAATTTCGTCCTTTCTCTGTTCATTTGGTAGCGGCCTCGCCCCGAGGTATTTAAAGCTGTCTCCTCCTTCAAGCTGACGGCCATTAATCCTCAGGAGTGCCTTCTCCTGATCAGGGATACGACTCGAGAATAATTTTGTCTTCCGGGTATTTATGGACAGGCCAACGGACGCATTCACCCGTGACACTACAAACTATAGATCACCAAGGCTTGAAGCTAGTAAAGCGATATCATCGGCGTCGTTTAGATCAATCAGCCGGCGTCCGCGTGCAAGATCAACACCGTCCCCCTCAAATCGGACATTTTTAATAATACAGTCAATGACGTAGTTGCATAGAATGGGCGACAGAACACAGACCCATCGAACGCCAGACCGAATAGCGAACGATTCTGCGAGGTTGTTATGGGTTAAACCCTGCGCAGTGGTGGAACGGTAGTATGCCTTGATCG